TAAAGCACCCTTTCCATCCACAACAGTAGAGATCTCACTCTGATCAAGAATTTCCATGTAGATGAACTGCCCCTTGGCAGGCTCATTAGGTCTCAGTATTAGGTAATTGTCTCTAAACAAGGAATCCTAACAAAGATTTGAAGTATATTGCAATTATCTTTGGGAATGCTAAGGGCAAGCTCTTTGAATTTGTTTTAGCTTTTTTTAATATAATACAGTTTCAATGTTTATTTCATTTTTTTGATTTACTCATTTGGTTTTACATAGTCAATATTTGGTATAAAATATTTGATTTGAAAAACCACAGTGAACTAGGAAAATCCGCTACTGAGGTTAGCCATTATATTCAGTAATTTTATTCAAAATTCTATGACAAGTACAATGCAATTGCCATTTTAAAAGATCCTGTATGCATTTTACTTGAAGCGTTTCTTATGAATCTTCTTATGAACCTCCTCCTATGAATAGAAGGACTAAAGTTGTTCTTGAGATAATTTATTTTGTTTCTTGCCTGGTTTTGTCCAATATGCTCTGGAAATGAGTAGTATTTAAACAATATATATGCTATATAGTTTAAACTGTTCTTATAGAGATGGTCTTAGTAATGGACATGGTAAGAAGCTTCATACCTGGTTTCTTGAGTTTTGGTTTGGGAGGTTTGGTGATGGTGGTTTTTTTGAGGTTTTTGAGATTTTTTTTCGGAGGGGGGGGTTAGATTCAGCAAATTCTAGGATAACTTACTGAAGTTTGCCAGTTACTTTGATCTATTGCTTTTTTAACAAAGCTTCCAGAATCTCTTTATACCCTAATCCATATTTGCCTGTAAATACATTCATAAAACTATAGAGAAGCACTGCTGTTTGTTATCATAATACCTCTGTGCTGTAGTTCAGGCCTTGGAAATGTAAGACTGAGTGGTCATGTTATAAAATGTCTGCAGCCTGGCCCATGAGACTCCATTGATGTCTTATGCTGTATATTGTAGTATTTCTTACCATTGCTACTCTGAATTTTGTATCAAATTTTCTTTTGCTAATTATGACTAAGCAGTTTTGCTATTTGGGAAGGGTGTAAGAAGAGGTGGATGTCTCTGTTTTTACCTTTGTATCCCGTTTTCTTGGGTCTGAAGCCCATGTGTTGATGCAAACCAACTAATTATATTCCAGAAGATGGAAAACTCCATCTTCAAAGGCCTTGGTTCCTGGGCTTCTAAGAAGAGATAGAAACAACGTGATTGCTTCATCTAGGGAAGCATTGAAGAGGTAGCACAATAGAAGACATAGAAGGGCACTGCACAGGGGAAGGGAGTAAAATGCTGTCCCTGTCTGTGGAGAGAAGGTCAGGAAGTAATGGATGTAGATCACTACAATGGAAGAACCACTCTGATCATAGGGGAGCTCCTTGCAGAAATGAACTCTGAGGAGATGACTGCTTCCCTGGCAGGTTTCTAGAACAGCTCCTACCTGCCATTACATTCCGTACACTGTGCTTCTCGATAGTCTGAAGTAAGTGGATGATTTCTGGTAGAGTTTCTTTCCTAACCAGCAATTTAATGTTACACTTGACAAATCTGCTGAGGATGTTACAGAATGTAGGAAAGCACCTGTCAGTCGACAAGGGTTTTCACTAGTTGGCTTTCACAGCAAATGAAAGTCCTTAACTTGAGATTTCTTTCTTTATTTTTCAGTGAGTAATTTGTTAGGATATTGGTTCTACTTACGAATCATTTCAAGTTTAGTAGCATTTAAATTTATTTTGCATAGTTGTAGCAACGGGAATAATATAGTAGGAAATAGGCAATAGATACTATGGTAAGCTGCACTGCTTACCATTAGCTGCTTGGCTTCTCACCACCATATTTCTTGTCTATGAAAAGAAGATGACAGAGAGGTTGCACAGAGCACCTGTCTGATATCCAGAAAATCAATTTCTCACTGCAGAAAACTTTACTCAAATAATAATAATAATAGTAATAAGCCATTAAGAAAGCTGAGATTTCTTTTTCTCAGTGCTTAGCAGAATCACAGCACTGCTGGCCTCCTGGAAACTGCAAACTCACATATGTGTTAAGAGCAAATTCTACATAGCTGGAATAAATCTTGCGACACCAAAAGAGGAAGTGTTCAAAGGAAACTTCTATAAAATTTTCATTTCAGAGTACTCCATTTGAGCATTAAACTGTAAGGTGCTCCACAAATTGCCAAGAGGTAGTACAGTTGTTTCTGGGAATGGCTTGTCTATAACGGTATGTATGTGTCTGCCTAAACTTGGTCAGACGCGATTAGACGTGTACGTGCTTGGAAGAAGCAATGTGGGGAGGTGGTCATCTGGAGCCTGAGGCTTTGAGAAATGAGGCATCTAGTGGCTAGGAAAGGTCAGGGAAGAAAGAACCCTGTTTGGAGGCATATGAGGTTTTCCAGTAAGGTTCTTGTTGAATGTTCGTGTTCATTTGTTCCTTTATAGGAAGCTGCAAATTTTCCTTCTTTTTTAAAAGAACCAGCTAAACAAAAATTCTATTTATTTAAGTCACTGAATGTCTACTCAGCTTTAATTAACAGATGATTTCCTTCCAAGTTAAATTGATTTCACACTGTATTCTAGAGGTGTTGAATTTGGAAGTTGCCTTTTGCACTACAAGCTGGGTTTTTGTGCTTGTTAGCAATCGCTTCTGAGCAGTATAAATTCCTTTTATTTTTCTTTTTTTCTTGTTTTTTTTAAGTGAAACACACTACTAGATCATTTCTGATACTTCTTTGGTGGAATGGGCTGTTGTGTTCAGAGAGTTAGGGAAGAAATATGAATATTTTTAGATAGCTCAAGTTACATGATAATAGCCATTCCAAATGTTTATTTTAAAACACTTTCATAATAATTCTAGAGTGACACTATACTCATCTAAGAAAGCAAGCAAAAAAAATCCTTTAAAATGTTTTCACTTACTTCATTGTGATGGTAGCTCTTTTCACTCCTCTATCAAATTAATCTAATATTTTTTTCTATTATGCCCTCGGTCTCCTTCTAACTTTTGGGTGCTTCCACATATGAAAGTTATACAAATATTATTTTCTGAACCAGGAAAATGCTTTAGTAAGAATGGGTGTTGTCGGTTTGGATTTTAGTTCTAGAAATTTCTGATATTTTTGATTGAAAACATAAATCCAAATTTACAATCTGTATTCAAATTGTGAAGACATTTTGTTTGTGAAAGTACAGACAAGTGATTCATACAGTTGATTATGGAAAATTAGTATAGGCTGACTTGTGTAAAGATCTGTAACTTTTTAATCTTGCTATAAAACGCTATTTCTACCTTATTCTTAATATGAAAAACTAGTCTGGCTGTAACAATTCCCTTCTGTTTTTAAAATATACTGAAGCAAAACCTAAACCTGAAATTCTGGAAATATCAAAATGAAAATCCAAGTCTGGTGCCTTGAATCTATTTGCCATCGTTCGCATCAGCAATCAACATCATGGCAGTAGATGGCTCTATGAAGCCATTAGAGTTACACTGCTGTAACGGTGGTAGCATCAGGACAGGGCACTCCAGAGCGTTTTTTGCAGACAGAGCCAAGTGCCCCATAAGGTATGAGGTCTGTGCAAGCCGCCATGGGCACCCTGGTTTGAATGCTCTACAAGCCATCCATTCACATTCGTTAGTTTTAAGGGAAGTCGGTTGGATTTGGTACAACAGGAAATGGTTCGCTGTGCAATTCCAAATGATTAGTGCAGTGGTTGTGCTTGAAACAAAGTCTGTTGCTTTCTAGTGAGTTGCTTTAATGTGGAATGCAGCTTTAGAGCGGCACTATGGAAATGTGTTTGCAGGTGTTTTAACCAAATACATGTGCAGTGTTCTTAACTGTGCACAAACCCTGCAGTGTCCCCCCCCTGCCCCTTTCTCCTGCGTGTCGCTGGAGCACTGCCGTCACTAACGCCCTGCAGTCTCTGTTCCTGTCTGTGTGACGTTGCTGTGGGCACGTTCACGTTTGACACTGTGTGTTTACGTTGGCATTCAGGGCTTTGCATGATTTCCTGAATCAGTAACAACTTGCATATTTAAAAAGTGGCAGGTTTCTCTTAAAATTTGAAGATGCTGATACTTTGACTGGCAAATATTTTAATGTCCTCATTAGCTTCTGCTAGTTCAGGTATTTGGGATTGAAACTTTGAAAAATCTCCAGGTGAGAAGAACATAAGCCATTTAGTTTTGTTTCCCAAATACATTGGTTTTCATATCAAAAAAGATGAATTTGCATATAGATTTTATAAACAGATGAGTTCTTCATTATTTTAAAGCCATTAGAAAACCTGCAAAGAGAATCCAGGATGCTGACACTTGATTGCAAAACTCTTCAGAAATGAATGTAAACAGTATAAGGAAAATGTTCCTTTTTGTCACTTGTACTTTTCTTTCATTCTTCAAACCAAGTGATACTTCTGCTTTCACGATGTCTAACTTCAATAAGAGAATGACTTTATGTTTCTATGTTAGTCTTTATTTCATTAATTTGCATATCACAATGCCAAGCTGTGGAAAAGATGATATGTGAGGATACGTTCCCCTAACAAAGCTTTTGCTGAAACTGAAAGTAGAGAAATCCTAATATTCCCTTGGAAACACAAGCCAGTAGCCTAAGTATTTTCATTAATATTTTCTCTCTTAATTACATAGGAAAGTAAGGAAATTCCAGTGTTACTTCTACTGAACAGAAGGGAGTTAATAAATAAAATAGTAAGTAAAAAACAAAATATTCTTCGCCAGTGCTCTGTAAAGGTGGCAGCTGAAACATATGGAATTGCTTACTTGAACTGGCTTTTAAATTCTCAGAAAACAGCAAAACTGGAGATTAAATCTTCTCCTGGATACCCATGCAGCGGGCTGCTCTGTCAGGCAAGGAAGCAGCTAGAACAGGAGCTCAGGGCTGCGGTCACGTAAATGTCATGATGACGGTTGGCTCAACTGTTCTTGTCCTTTTGCAATGCATGCGGTGTTGTGGCAGTAGGTTGCATTTCCAGACGGGCAATGCTTCAGCAATTACACGGAGTCAGTACATTCTCACACGACGAGCGTCACTGTACTGCTCACACACGGCCGAACAAAGGTAAGACTTCCAAACACTGGCTTTGTTTTTATCCTAGCATGTGAGTTGAGGTGTCTTGTCTGTTTCTGTCAGTGAAGTGGGTAGCAGGTTAGAGGTTTTGCTTTTCTTTTTTTTTTCTTTTTCTTTTTAAATCAGAAGCATTTGGCTTGCACACAATTGCTTATAACTGGCATTTAACAGTCAGTCTCGTGTTGTGAAGGAAGCTGATTCCTGAGTGTCCGTTTACATCTCACTAACCCACCCCATGAGTTCAAACACTTTGCAGAAAGAACTGCTTTCTGGAGTAGTGATATTTCTGGAGTGGGATCTTAACCCCTGGTATGTAGCTCCAAACAATAATGCCTGTTTGCTCAAAGCTCTAGCCCACTAGCCTGAATAGCAGCATTTCCCAAATCATATTCACCTACTAGCTGCCAGTGGACACTGGACCCCTCTGATGGCTGTCAGCTCCTGTGCTCCTGCTGCAGGAACAACCTGGAGACCTACTCAGGAAAAAAAATAAAGGAGGAAAAGCCAACAAAATCCATCCCTACCAGGGGAAGAGGAAGAAAAAGGGCATCCTAGGCTGAGAAAGAGGTGACTGGGTAGGAGCAGAGGGATTGCAGCAGTTGGATATATGCCTCTCAGAGAAAAGGGAATACTGGACTCCATCAAAGCTGGAGCTGCAGTTAAGCGCAGGAGCACGCGTTTGAGAAAGTGGCATGATGCAGAGCATCCTGTAGAGTGAGGGAGGAGGTAAGGGCGAGGAAAAGTGGGAAAGTATTTGCCTTTGGCAGGTGAACAGAACAAATGTGAGAATAAATAAAATGAAGATAAAACAGAAATGAAAGGGGCAAGATTTAACTCATTAAAAGCAGTTTTATTTCAGTTTCTCGACACTACTTTACAATATAATCAACTGCTAAGCTGCCACAAGACGCTGTGAGCTGCTCCCAGGTGGAAGAGGTGACTTCCCACGTGTCAGGAAAAGGATGGGAGGACACCAGCAAACAATCACTTTATTGAAAAGCAGTCCACATATGGAGACATCCGAGGAACCTTTTAGCCTTATCCAGTATTCAGTATGACTGTGACATTCTTTGCATTAACAAACTGTAGCAGTAAGAAAAAAAAAGTCTTAAAAGCTATAATCTAATGTTGATTGTGGGAAATTATACAGTAAGCTGATTCCTTATCTTTATATACTCAGCAAGTAAGTTGACATAGACACCGTTGCAAAATTTAAAGTAGCAGCTTTGAAAATTATCATGATCTACTTTTTAACTAGCCCATCCCTGTGAGATATGACAGCTGACCTGTAGAGGAGATGTGTAGGCAGAAATCAGACAGAAGGATTGTAGAGATGGCCAGGTCTGAAGTTTCAATCATTTTCTGCTTGTTTTCATCTATGTAAATCAAGGGATTTGTTCAGTTTGACTCCACAGAACACGTGGGCTCCTTCAAAAGAGGAGCACAAGTACAAAACTTAGAGCAATCTTGAGCTGTCACAGGCCCAGGCTGCACCTAAACAGCAGCAGCAACTCTAGGAGCAGATACTCTTTTCTCAGGGATGATAGCTTTGGTGAGCAGTGGCACTTCCAGCGGAAAAGTGAAGACCCTGGGCACCAGTAAATATGCCACCAGGCTGCACCTTATTCTCTTCTGTAGAAGAGCAAATAAATAAATAAATGCCTGTATAATGGGAGAAAAAGATGCTTTCTGCCTAGAAAGAAAATACAGAATCATTAAACCCCATGGAGAAATGGGAATGCAGCCAGAGTTAAAGGTTGTTCAAGGTTAAAAGACCCACTTGTAACCTTTGCTAAGAGGCTGCCTAGCCCCTAGGATGGAATGAACCCCTGAAGTCGGAGGCATAAAGGGAGCCCAACCAGCAACTCCGGGACCAGGCAGCCAGTGCAAGGCACCTTCCATGGAGATAGGAAGGTTCCCAGGGGCTTCCATGGCAGAAGCTTTTGCATCTGCAGAGACTGTGGGAGCAGCAAAACCCTGTCCCCTTACTGAAGCAGGGAGACCACATTAACGTTGCTTAGCCTTGGGCTACAGGAAGCACTCGGAAGCAGCCATGGCGATGATTCATGCAAGATGAGTTTGACCTGACATTCTTGCTAGTCACCCTTGTGCCATAGAAGCAAAATATAAGCAAAAACTCAGGATTTGACAATAGATTTAAGGGTTACCACAGACTGGCAGTGTTTGTAGAGGACAGTTTTTAGCAGCTGGGACATCCTTTTAGAAGATATAAATCATGTTAGAAAATACTTTGGCAAATCTTCTGAAATAAGTGTTTTTACATTTCTCTCAAATATAATAGGGTGTTTTATAAATAGAGAATTTGGAATCATTTTGAGAAAGGAGTTCCAGGGAACAGTCCTAAATTAAATTTTATCGCAAAAAATCTAGGAACAGGAGAGATTTTTCCTTCGTTTCAGAGCTAGGCAATAAACTCCCATAGTTATCATGACCCTTCAGTGATTTTGCTTTCCTGTTCAGATATATTTAATGATGTCAAAGTTTGAGAGCTGTTGATCTTTTGAATTTCAATTTGAGTGGTGTATTTAATAGAAAATGGCACAGTACGTTCCTGAAAGTGTCCCGAAGACTATATCTGTTAATGTCAGCTCTGCTAAGAGGTATTTATTAGTTAACTGTGCTGCACAAGAATAAGGAACACCTACTGTTATTTAAGGGAGGGAAAAAGCTTGATGACACATGCAAATGACACATCATATATTTTAAGTTCCCTGTATGTCGCCTACACTAACTGAGGAGGTGCATTTGTCCTTTCGACATTGTTCTCAGTTTGAGCATTACTGTATCTGAAGTTAATGTGACTCCGATAGTAATATACCTCTTAAAGACAAAATTAGTTATAATATATTTTAAAAAGTAGATACCACTTGAAACCAAAATATGTGTGGCCTTCTAAATCTTTGCCTTGAAACTACTACCCGCCCCTCCTTTGTCCAGCAGTTGCTGTAGTGCTCAGGGAGGAGCTGGGCCAACCACTCCACAGCAGCAGAAGTACGAAGTGCTTGAGGTCATGGGGAACACTAATTCTCATGGCATTTGAAGGTGTGTTTGTTCAGGAGTAAAAAATCCCATTTTTAACGCACATACATGTAGCAGTACTGAGCCAGACTCGGACAGCAGCCATTATGCCCATGCAAAGGTGATGCTTGGAAATGTAACTGGGCAAAAGTCTCTCCTGCAGTACCATGGGACTCAAGTGCCAGGGGCCGCTACACTGCAAAGCTGCTGCGTGATGAGTTGTGGACGCACTTGGTGAAGAGAAGCTGGACCCAGTGTGAACAAGCAGGACAGTGAGCGCCCAGCCCTGCGTGCTGCCAGCTCCTACGGTGCCATGTTTGGTACCGCCTGCTGTGCTTGTAGTCATGCTCTGCCCTGGTTCTCTCCAAACACTCCCAGGTAGTTTCTGTGAAGAGGATAATTTTGGCAGCTACTGTAGAGTCATCTTGGAAAGGGAATGTAATGCTGCAGCGTGTTGCCTGAGGAAGAGGCTCAGTGTACCTTTTCTGGCGGAGAGCAGGACAGCAGTACAATACAGTATCAGGCTGATCCACTTTTAAGTTTGAAAATTACAGTGAGTCCTTTTCTAATTTTATTCCTCAGCCATGACAGGAAGCATTCCTCTTAGTCATTTCTGCTGGCTCTGAAGAGACGGCTCCTTCCTCTGAGGTATAAAAAGGGTAATTTCATTAGCAGACACTGAGTAATGACAGACTAGGAAGCAAGCCTCTTATCTCAGGTGCAGGAGCTCCAAATATTCCTCCATCTGCAGAGCCTCCTGGTCCTTGCTTTGTTTATGTTGCGGAAGAGCATAGGAGTTTTCCAGTGACTCCAGGTTGTTAGACATTAGCTCTAGAACAAATTGTTTTGCAATGACTGTGCTAACAACCACTCCTACTTTTTCCCTCTGGCTCCTTGACTATTCAGTCAACATTTAACCTCCTGTGCTACCACTTCTTGATAATGGCAGAAGCTCCCCTGCACAGCTTTGTGTTTTCCCAGACACCAGGCAAGGCTGAGTGCGGGGCACCTTGAACCCTGCAGCAGTCAGGCCAGGCTCATTGCCGTTTTTCCATCCATGTGTTTGCAGCGAGGACAACACGGCTCTGTCCTCAGCTGCCTCTCAGTGTTGCCTGCTGAAGCACAGGGAAAAAGATGAACCTGTCAGTGCAGACTCACTGTGCAGCTGTTGCCAAAGGAGCAGAGCAAGCTTCTCGTTTCAGTGCCTGGGAAGCCAGGACTGATTTGCACCCTGCAACATTTCTGGGGCTGGGATCTATCTATTTTAGTGATGGGCATCCTTTCTCCAGAGAGCAGTTATTAATAGACTGACAGTAAATGATGCTCATGCACGCAGCGCTACTAATACGCAGTGATGCAGGCGGCAGCAGGGCAAAGGACTCATTCTGAAGTTGGTAATGGCCCCTTCCCTTCATGTCCTGCAGCGACGAGATACATGGATTAATTTTAAATGCATTGGAAACATATGGGTCTAAAATTACTTCGTGCTATTTAGAACAAGTCCTTTGAGCTAAGGCTGTTGTAAATTCTAATTAGGCTATGCTAATCTCCATAATAAGCAGCTGTTTTTAATGCAGAGCTATCTGATGAGGTCTGCGAGCATTTTCGACACTTATTTATATACTGGCAAGAAGGTGATATCGTGCTAGCATGAGGATGTTTGCACAGGTTATAGGAATTCAGTATTTCCTGTACTCTGCCATATTTGCTGAAGGCTTATTTCTGTTCCAGGATTGCCAGCTAATACCCGTTCGATTGTATTTATTTATGCAGAAAACCGGGAAAACTCCTTCAGCCGTTCGCGAAGCTCCAGTGTGTCCAGTATCGACAGGGACTCCAAAGAAGCGATTACCGCTCTGTACTTCATGGAGTCCTTTGCCCGCAAGAATGACTCTGCTGTCTCCCCCTGTCTCTGGGTTGGAACAGGCCTTGGCATGGTCCTGATCCTCTCTCTCAATCTGCCTGCTGGCGATGAATTAAGGCAGACAGAGCCAGTCATGGTGTCACCAAGTGGTAAGGCCACATCTACTGTTATCTACTTGATGCAACAGCGGGAATAACTGTATAATATTATAGGGTTTTTTTTTGTCAAAAAATTCTCAATGAATGTATCAAACAATGATAACTCAAATAACCCAATGATGCCCAGAGGTACAAAGAGATGCTTGTGGCAGATCTGTAACTTCAAGAACTTAGCCTTTTGGTTGCGTTAGGCCTGAAGATTACTGGAGATTTGGGTACATATGCTACTCACATTTCTTGTAAGGATATGGAAATTAGCAGAGTTGCTTCAGACTGGGCAAATTCAGTTCTGTGCACAGGTCGGACCCCATCCTCTCTGCAGGGCTGTGAACAGTTTGGCTCTCTTGTGATCAGGAAGCTACAGAGAAACAGAAGGGAGCTCAGAAAGGGAAATAAAAATGTTGGCAGGTTGACTTACCAGGAGCGGTTCTTGGCAGAGTGAGTGACAGATGGTAGAGCAGAAAGAATAGAGGGCAAAGAGAGGGCAGGTCTGAGGGGAGGCAGTATGTGTTTAGTATGGGTGAAGGAAAATAATGACTAAAATCAGAGGTATATGTAAGAGTGAGTCTCTTAGGGAAGCTACAGGAGTGCTCCTGAGTGGCCTTAAAGCAGCACTGGAAGGTCACACAGCTAAGGAGAGCGATTTTGCTTGAACAAGAGAATCAGTATCCTACTAGTACAATGTAGTGTTAAAAACAGCCCTGCCTTTATGGTACTCCATAGCATATATTATATACAGTGTTTGATACAGACTGCCTGAGGTGTTCTCAGTAACCACAGCATATTTGTTCAACTTCCTGCATGGTCAGGAAGACCTGTAAACTTAGCTACATTAACATCTGCTGTGCTTACAAAAGGCAAACCAGAATGTCGGCTGGGCCTCATGCATTCACAATACTGACAGCCAGTTTTATTTTAGTGCCAGTGCCAGTGAAAGGAAATTATATTTTGCAGGCACAGTTCTGACACTGAAAGGAGCCGTGCTGACCTTCGCATGCTTGGACTGCATGGGGACTCTGACACATCCACCATATGAAGTGTGGCGGGACCCCAACAGTGCAGATGATGGTGAAAAAACAAGAAAAAGGAAACTTGTTATGCATTCCCCTTCTTCCTCCCAGGATATGGGTGATCATCAATTTGCAGTCATTTGTTCAGAAAAACAAGCCAAAGTCTTCTCATTGCCCTCCCAAACATGTCTTTATGTCCACAACATCACCGAAACATCCTTTTTATTGCGAGCAGATGTGGTCACCCTCTGTAACAGCGTCTGTCTGGCGTGCTTTTGTGCCAACGGGCACATCATGACACTGAGGTATTTATCTAACTAATCTTACAGAAAAACTAAATGAAGAAGTGACAGGGTGCTGTCAGTTCCCACTTGCACTTGCTGCAGCATGTCCTTGTGATGAGCGATACTCTATATTAAATCCCTTGTGGTTGTATTTAGTGCATGTCTAATACACAATTAAAGACTCCTCTGGGAGCTGCCTTCCCTGTTGCCCCACCACCTCCATGGTCAATCCCTGCATGGGGAGGTCACAGGAACTGAGTCACGTTGAAAAGTAATGGCCAGTGGTGTTTAATTATTGTAAAAGAAGCCTGTGGTCGTTTTTGCTCAGTTAGTCATAGTTAGCCATATAGGAAGCTCATGTGTAGGGATGGTACTGCTCATCCAGTAGAAAGTAGCAAACGCCCCATCACTTTTACCAATTCCAAGTATTTTCTGCTCCGGCCACTTCATTTCATTGGCTTGCCTCCACTGAGCTGACTGTGCAATATCCTTATAGTTCCTTCTCATCCGTATCCTCATCTGTCCTCCCCTTGGCAGGACAGATACATTATGGAAACCGCTGTCCTCTCCTGCAGCTAATGAGGTGACGGAGAAGCTGTAGCACAGCAAGGGGGAAGCAGGAACATTTGCACGGCCTCCCACAGCACCTCCCATGCGCACCCACATGGTAGCTGGGACAGACCCTTCACAGGGCTGGACCCTGTCGAGCCCCTGCCCCAGCCATGTGGCACAAGCCCCGCTGTGTTTCAGCCTGTCCCGAGTCCGTAAAGCACGAGGAGCCTCAGGATCACTGAAGCAAGGCCAATGAAACATTTCCATGTGGGGAAACGAAGTATGAACAAAAGGTGCTGTGGTTAGGGCAGAGGTTTTTCCCCTTTTGAACTATTCTAGTTATGAAAACCATCAACTGAGAGGTGTGTTTGAAATGCAGCTATGGAAGAACCCTGCAGGGTGTGACGTGTGGTGACTAACGCAGGTGTCTGCTTCTCTTCAGCCTGCCCAGCCTTCGCCCGCTGCTGGACACCAACTACTTGCCTGTAACAGATATGAGGATAGCGCGGACCTTCTGCTTCACTAACAAAGGGCAAGCTTTGTACCTCAGCTCTCCCACCGAGATCCAGCGCCTGACGTACAGCCAGGAGATGTGTGATAGCCTGCAAGTACGACTTCAGCCCTTCCTTACATTGCTTGCCCTTGTGCGTGTGTGGGTGGGAGGGCCAGTGGTGTGATCGCAGCGTTTGCAGATTACCGGGTTAACAGGAGTGACAGATGTTGGTAGAGTTCTCAAAGCAGCTTTTCCTACCAGTGTATTAAAAGATTTGTAAGATTTGTACTTGAAAGAGAAATTTTGACATGGTTGAAAAAATATTAGCATTACCAGATATTAGAATCTAAACAGGTGTCCAAAAGCAAGCATTAGTATTTTAAGTAAGTGAAGCCTTTGCCGGAGGGGCAGGACAGACATGTGCCTGTGTGTTTGCCCTGTCTGAATCGAGCTGCAGAGGCTGAGCAGCCGTGAGCAGCTCAACTGATGTTGGGACGTTTCCATGGCCCTGTCACCTTGTTCGAGCTTCTGTGCCCTCGCAGACCTGCAGCCTCTGCAGGCTTCCTGAACAGCCAGATATGGACCAAATGCACAGGCTGCTGCTGCTCTCAAGAGTCTTGCTGGACCAAAGACCAGCAGCTCAAAAATGAAGTCACAAATTCATAGCACCTACAGTAATTGGTACCAGCAGATATCCAGACACCCAGCTACTGCCTTAGTGCAGCTATGAATTCTTTCACACACTTTCTTTAATCATATCATTTTTTATTTTAGCTAAAAATATCTTCATACCTGCAGCATTCAGTAGGCAGGTGGAAGCACAGCAGAAGCTGGTACATTTAGTATCAAAATAAGCTTAATTTAGATATGTCTTAAATTATTTACTGCTGTTTTCACTCCAGTAATTGGTACAGCCCTCTCCCACCCATTCCCCCATTTTTCTACATGAGCAAAGCATCTCCTGTTGTACATTAAAATACAGTAGCTATGGAGATGGTCTAATTAAAATAATTTATTTTGGGCAAAAGGGCTTTACATTACTTTTATATGTATATATAAAATGAAAATGCAAATTAAAATGTCATTTACCAAAAAGCAGGAATTGCAAGAGGTTACAGGGAGGCACTTGAGTAACAGAAGAAAAAGAAATAAGAAGGAGAATAAGTTCTAGGTTATATAATTAGCAATGAACTAGAATAGAAAAGCAAAAGAAATGGTCCTGCCAGCACTCCCTATGCCCTAGGGAACAGCATGTGCTGAACAGCTCAAATCATTGTCTCGAGACTGAAGAATCATTGCGAGGACTGAGCACTACATGCAAGCTTTTGCGCGTTGGAAAAGAGATCGTTTTGCAGGGAACCAATTTTAAAATGATCAAAAGGGTTGATCAATGCATCTCAGATGATGGGCCTATAGTTAGAGGCTGTTATGAGCTACCTATAATATTAACCCTGGTAGGACCATCCACCAACAGAAGGGACCCTCAGCCCTGGCTTTTCTGTCCCGCCATGCTGTGGCTGCTCACACCTCGGTTTCATGCCAAGGGGATAGTTAAAGGCCAGCAAAACCACTGTCCCTGCTCAAAAAGCAGACGCCCCCAGAGGTGCCTGCTCCCTCGCAAGACAAGGCAGCCAGCATGAGAGATTCTGCTTGGGCTCGGAGCACCGCACTGGTGCATCCCCGCGAGCGCGTGGGCGGCAGTGCAAAGGAGCGGCACGAGGCGGCGTGGGGCGCGTGGGGTGCGTGGGGCGCGGGGGCTGCCCTGCTCACATGGTGGTGCCTTGCACGGCCCTGCAACCACCGCCACCGCCGCCATCGCTAGGCCGAGCCACCACAGCGCCGGGCCCCCACACAGCCACAGCCCCCACGCTGCCGGGCCTCTACGCTGCTTCTACGTCTGTGTTACTCTGCAGAGCTCATTGCCCTACAGCCCTTGCGAGTAAAGCTGAGCCTGGCATTTGGTTGACTCTGATGTGGTTTTGCTTCTCCAAAAAGTGCGGTGTCACAACAGAGCCTTCAGACAGGCTTATTTAGCATTACTGATGGCATTGCCAAAATGCACAGCAGCAGTGCATAGGGGAGAGGTTTTGGTTTTATTAAAAACAGAAAGCAGGAGAGAAAAAAAAAAAAGGCACCATGACCTTTATTCATGGTCCTAACCCTAGCAAGCAGGGAACTCAGGACCACTGCAAAGCAGAAAGAGAGCAAATGCCTTGCCTTGCTTGCCTGGATAGTCACTGCAGCAAGACACATAATTCACAACAAATGGTTTATTCAATTACAATGTCATCTCTGCTGTTCCTGAGCAAAATGTGATCTTATCACTGACATTTTCATTATGTGGCTTGCTTGCAAAATGTTGTCTCTGCAATAATGAACGTGAGACTAGGTAGTGACAAAGTGAGCCCTGTAAAAGCATAAGTGAAGGTGGTTAGCCCACGTATTCAAAAATGTTGAGGACTTACTTGATACTGCTCTCTATACAGCAGAGATATAACTAGTTGACTAGATCCAATGTTTCGTCTAATCCAAATGAAGAAAATCCCTATAGTGACTTTTAACTCACTGATTTTTTTGCATGGACTTATATCTGTCTCTGCTAGGACATGCTTGGGGATTTGTTTACACCTGTGGAAACACCAGAAGCCCAAAACAGAGGCTTTCTCAAAGGACTTTTCGGAGGAAGTGGACAAGCTTTTGACAGAGAGGAGCTCTGTAAGTGTTTCTCGTGCAGAAATTAACACATGGGGCCCCTGCCCTTGTCACCTGGGACTGGAGAGGTGTACGAGATTTGTATAACTGATGAAAAAAGAGCCAAAAAGAGAGCATGAAGAAAGGGGACCAGCACCTTAGTTGCCTTATCCGTGACTCCTTCTGCTCAGAATTCTATGATGTCCTTTGAGCAGCTGAGGCCATGACTAGGCTGTTGCTGTGCAAGTGCCAAGGCACCCAGCGTCCTGCCTTGCTGGAGAGCCAGGTCCTCCAGGTGTGCTGCTGTCTGTGCGCCGAGCGGCAGCGCTGCCACCAAGGCGGTGCGTAAGGGACAGCAGCACTGGCAGAGCCGGGCAGAGGGCTCATTCCCGTCTCTTTGGCCGCTTCTTCTTTGCAGTTGGTGAAGCCACGGCCGGAAAAGCCTCTCGGAGTCTTGCCCAGCACATCCCAGGAGCAGGAGGGATCGAGGGCGTGAGAGGAGCTGCAGGAGGAGTTATCGGGGACTTGACTCGCGCACGCATTGCCCTTGACGAGAGAGGACAGAAGCTGGGAGAACTGGATGAAAAGACTGCGAGCATGATGGCCAGCGCCGAGGCGTTTTCCAAACATGCCCATGAGGTAAGGGCCTGGCAGCACAGCCCCAGAGCAGGGATGTGCATCTACCTGAAGGAAATTCAAGCGCCATTCTCCCCACTCGGTCATCTTGTTTTAGCTGCGCTTGCTTCCGTGTATACTCCTACTCTAGAAAACAGCATATTTAAAGCATAAGCTCAGCATAAACACCTGCCTCTCATCTTTTCACAAATGAGCATTCAGTGTTCATCTTTGAATTCAGAACGTGGCGCTTCTCCTCTCTCATCTTTTCTCACTAACTCTTTTATTTTCTCTAAATAAGAGTTATTTTCTCTGAAAATAAAACATTAAAGAAGACCTCCTGTAATGCATGTTTTTCAACTATCTCTACAGGTTCACCTTTCACTGCCTGTTTTAAGTGAAATGCGAAAATACTCAACAGAAACTTGCTCATAAAGGCAGAAGGCGTATATGTATTTGGGGAATGTCTGCTGTGTTCTATAGGTGCTTTTTCCATAGGAGTAAAGAGCAAATTTCTGCTGATTCCTACTCTTCCATGAAAAGTATGGGGGTAAATTAGTTAAAAGTTCCTTAGGAAAAACCTTTTAATGAACAAGAATAACAAGTAGGTCTTTTTCCTTCTTTCCTTTTTTTTTTTTTTTTTGTATAAATGTATCAGTTATGAAATTAAAAGTGTCTCAGTGGCTTCAAGAGCCGATGACACAGGAAAGCGCTGTCTTGATGCTTCATTTTCACTTATGAGACAGATAATTCTTTTTTTGTGACAGATAATTAACCCAAGTAATTTGTGATACCAGGGTAGTAGGCTTGTGTCAACTCCTTTACCATACACAGGGCAGTGTTTTATGTCTGTTTGTTTGTTTGTTCCCTGTTTCCATAGGTGATGCTGAAATATAAGGACAAAAAATGGTACCAGTTTTAGACTTTTAAGGAAGGTACTTGCGGCTTTACTAAGACCATTGTTACGGGAACTGACACTCATTCCCAAATCAACAGTCGTCACTGGTCAGAAACAACTATTTTTCTCCTAGAAGACGTTTTTCTGGATTCAATGGATTGATCACAATTGGAAGCCAGGAGAAATTTTACAGACTGCAAGATAGACGCCAGAATGATGTGGATCCTACTCCAACACCTGGCTTATGCAGCAGCCAATTTTTTTCCCAAATGGAACTCAACCAGCACTGTGGCATGTAGTTTTTCAGAAGCTATAGGTATGAACTGATTGGGGAGTGTGTCTGGTTAAAAATATTCTGTACAAACTAGAATGTTAATGCACTTATAAAACTTCTTGCATGACTATTTGACAACTTAAAAAAGAGAAAAAGAAAGCATGTTGTAAGTGAAGAAGAAAAAAAGGATTTATTTCTATTCTGAGGAAAAAAAAACAGCAAAAACCTTTATTTTTAAAATGACACTACAAAAAATACATTTCAAGCATGTTTGCTACTGTTCTCAACAGGAAAAGGAGTTGAGCTGCATTTTCTTATCTGCTATTTATTTTCCTTGAAAAATCTAGCCTGAAATCAGTGCTGTTTAATTCCTAGCAGAAGAATGAATAATGTTAAAATCCTGTGCCCAAAATTACAGCTTTTTCAAGTAGCTAGACAGGCACTAACTGAAATGTCATTTAAACATGAGAGTAGACAGTTTATTTGCAATCCAGAGCACATGAAATGTCATCCTTATCTGTACTACCTTATCTGTAAAATGTGCTCTAGATTCCTCTCAGATGTCCTTGAAGGGGGCTGTGGCATTTTTTCATCCCAGTAGTTTCTGTATTACTTGGTTGCCTTATTTCCCAGTAGTAGGAGCAGAAGACAAATTTATAAAATCGCTTTTGAAATTAGCAAAGGGAAGATGACCGAAAACACTGCTGTGAGGTGGAGAGTCGTGTCAATTGCTACAATAGCTCACAGAAATTATGGCAAGGAAACTGCAGAGAAACTCCGATAAAGCTAGCGGGCAGACATCACAACAGCCAGACTGGGGAGAAGCACGAAAACCAGCCATCAGCATATGGCACAGCATTAGTACACACAGAAAATGACACCACTGGTGTGTGGCAATTAGATTTCCTGTTCACTTTGCTAAAACTAATTTGCTTCAGCTTCAAAGAAAGAGACTTGTTTGGTTTCTACAGTGAACTCTGCAGAAAATACACCAGCTTGCAGCCACAGAAGAGAACAGTGTGTACTACCTGTCTACATGAGTAGACTCCCAATCGGCAGGAATGTGATGCAGTTTCAGTAGCCTGCAAAAGCTTGACTTTCATGGAGGCCAGGAGTGAAGTTGTTTGTTAGAAAAAAATTCCATTTCCTTCAAAACAAGGCACTGAAGGCCTGTTTTCTTGTACCTTGATATAAGTTCAAGTTAGAAAAGGAGTGAGAAAAGAGAGAAAAAGCAGCATTATAATAATATCTGAGAAGAGAAACAGCCTCTGCCCCTTCAAGAAGTCTGGACTGACACTTCGATAGAGAGAGAAGCCCCCTTGTAACTGAATTTCACTGGTGTTTGCATCATGCTGATGCCAGCTGAGCTCTCTCTCAGCGATGCTTCCTCACACACACATTTCCTTTTCCTCTGCTAAAATGGAGGGCAGGAAATTGTACAGTGCTGTGGGTTCCAGCATCAGTCCAGCTGTGCGGAGTGAAAGGACAGAACAGACCTGAGGTGTGAAGAAGTTGCAAGTTCACATTGTAGCAGAACAGAATTCTTAAAGTAACAGCTCTGACAGCTCTAGTGGAAACATGACAAGATACAAGTTTCTCTGTCACAGGAAAAACTGCACTATAATTGTAGAAACTAAAAAAAACAGAAACTTGTGGGGAAAAAGGTCAAAGTCTAAGCAATGCACGCTCAGAATTACGGAGTTAAAATTGCCCATGACAGAACAGGATGTGTTTGTGAATTCCAGGAGAGAGCAAAGGCACCACTCTGGTGCCAGTATGAACCAGTCTGGGGAACTCCCTCCTGATCACAGAACTAGCCCCTGGCATATGATGAAGAGTTGCTATAACCAGGCATCCAGACTAACAAATGAATGAGATCATTACGGCAGTTCAGTTTGCTGCATAAACATACGTTCACTCTGTGCTCTGGCCTGAACTCCCAAACCACTGATCTCTGGGTAACAAAATCTGTTTGCGCACCTGATCCTTCAAGCCCTCCAACCAAATTTATAAACCTTACTCCTCCTAGTTTCTCTGCTTCTAAGGAGAAGATGAGTAGCCATTGTCTTCATTAAAAGCAAGCCAAGGTTATGGCATCTGAATTTGTTTGCAACCAGCCCTGCACTTGCTTCTGCACTTAGTGCAGCTGGGACAGCTGTGGCACTCGCACACTGCTGGTTACAGAGCCGCTTGCCACCGCAGATCAGTGCAACGTGGCGGCGCCTAGGAGAGCAGCCAGGCAGGCGCCGGCCCCCCGCGGGCACACACAAATGACAAGGTAGCTACTCGATCTACATACATTTTTGGTAGGTTGCGCAGTGCATAGGTTGCCAATATTACAAAGGTCTTCAGTACCTTGGTTTCAGTAGCAGTGTCCTCAGGCTAGAGCTAGGGTCCATGCACTCATTTGTGAGTCAAAGGCAAGGCTATAGGAGCAACTTTTAGTTACTGCTCACTAGAGCATGCCCAGAGAGAAAAGCGTCTTCAGTAAGTCATGAAAAGTGTCTTCTAGTCACGTCTGACCTGCTTTGGCAACAATCTCTAGGTTAACAACAGGGGAAAAGCCTGCCAGTAAACTTTGATGTGTGTTTTTATGCAACAGAAAAATGAGAATTTAGCATCCCTCTAACTTGCCATTTTTAATAATAGACTCTTTTAAGCAACTTTTCTCTAGTGCTCCTCACCAGGTCACAGCTATATCTTGCTTTCCACCTTTACATATTTTACATATTTCCAGACAGTTACAAACTACTGTTTCTGTTAAGTTCACCACTTGTGACTATAATTATCAATTTTCTTGTAGTCTGTAGAGATCTGAAAAGTTGTATATGTTTGTATATAGAATATTCTATATATAAAAATATATATATGTAATGTATATGTTGTATAAGTTTGTTGGTGCACACTGTTAAATGCTTTCTATCAAGATTTACCATGTATGTGGGAAAAAAACCCTTCACTTACTTAAAAACTTCAGTGAGGACGGTCAAACACCTGCCTGGATGATTTCCTGTGAAATGAGGGGGAGTGTGGGATTTTGGAAAGACCTGACCTGAGCTCTATTAATGACTACTGATGAAAGTAATAAAGATGCAGCGTTCAGAGCAACAAACCCAGCATCTGAGTTTACTTGCTGTAAGAAATTGAAGGACACTGGGTGTCGTGGGGCATGCTGAAGTCATGTGCTTTCACCTTTTCCACTAAGACAGCACCAGCTCAAGCAAAACCCTAGAGCTGTCATCAACATTTGAGTCCTGTTATAAGAGACCAGATTGACTATAAATATTTCTTAAATTTAAAATGCTCTTGTGCGTTTGGATACCTTTCTCACTGCCATTATCCCAACCACCTCTGAAAACCAGATAGGCAGAACTTGCAGGAGCACATGCTTGGCTCCGGGCCTGACCTGATGTACTTACCCCTGTGCATAGAGCTGTAGATACACAGAATATATAGAATATAAATTAGATTCTTTACATGACTGTAGGCAAATCTTCAATGAGGTACAAGCTGGCTTTTTTTTTTTTTTAAATCCTAGAGTTTTAAATTCAGCTTCAAATCATTAATTAAACGGGAAGCTAAAGGAAATGATTTTTTAAAATCCTAAAATTCACTATTACAAAACTATTTACATTTAGAATAGAAGACTGCATTCTGAGTATCAATTAGACATTCCTGGGATTATCAGAATATAGCTTCTCACATGAATTTTAACAGAAACACTCTGTTTGCTACACATATTGTATAAAGTTACCACATAACAAAATTCTCTAAAATAGTCTACATATTCTTTTCACAGAAGCCATCTCACACCCAAATATGTATATTACAATGAAAATACACATACAAAAATATATTTTTTAAATATACAATTCAAGAAGTGAAAAACATATTGCAGTTTCAATAAAAGCCGTATTCAGCCTCAGGACTCCTCCATTTTTAAACTGTGTATTATAACACAAGCCAAAAGCCAGATTTCATTTAATTACAAGCCCCTTCATCACCCCAGCCTTCCTACATCATTTTCCATGATCTAAAGGCAAATTCAAGCACAGTACATTTCAGTCTTGAATGTTTTTTGCCTTGGTACAGTCTTAGGAAGTACACACTCTCTCATTACGGAACTACATGTGGCCATTTGTAGTCAACTTTTCACATAGGTGTGTAAGCAACAGTCAGGTAAAATGAATGTTTTAATTCAGGTGTTTTGTGAGTAAATCAACAAATCAAACATTGTACTTTTTTAAATAGCAACTAATATTCAGATTCATTGTCAAGGAAGCTGGACAGATTATGTGTGGGTTTTGGGAGGCAGGGACCTGCCTCCGTTTCAGAAGGAAGGTTGATCCAGGCTGAACTGCACACTCCTGTCCTAACCAGTCCCTTTTTCCACAGATCCAAAATCAGCATCACAAAGGGAAAAAGTAAGGCACCTTTTACTGAAGCTGTTTTGAGTTCCCCAATAAAAAAACGAAGAAAGAAATATATGGGAAAGAAAATAAAGGTCAGAATTGATATTAGTTGGTGTAGATCTTTCGATTTCTTTCAACTCTTGCTCTTAGATTCTTTATAGTATTTCGCAAGACACCTGCTGTATGGTACAGCTTTGAATGGAATTTACATTACTAACTCACTCAGAAATTTGGCAAATTCAGCCACAGCTGTTACCAAGGCGAGAAGGACCATATCCCTCCCTCCAACAATCCCAGCCGGCATGAAAACCTAATGTCGTTACGCTTTACTCTATGGAGCTCCAATTCCTAACATCAGTCTTCAGGAATATTAGTCTTGTGCCTGGACAACGTGTTTTACTGATTCTGCGTCACGTCACCTCACACCTCCGCATTAAACGCAGCCGCGGATCAGTCGAAGCGTCCTGCTCTCCCCTGGCACGCCAGCACAGACGTCCCACGTCACCGTCGGGTCTCCCTGTACGTCAGGTCGTGGCACAGGGCTCAGACCCTCTCCTCCTCCTCTCAGAAGGGCAGGAGCAAGTTTATTTCAGCGCAGCTACCAGAAATATGATACGGTTGCTCTGACAGTAGAGACGCAGATGTCAGTCAAAGCTACCGAGTCGCTCATCCACCCACCCCCTTTTCAGCCAGATTTATAGAAAAAAAATGTCAGGAGACAACTCTACAGCTCTCTTCCTGAGAAAACACAGGTAGCACAGGAGAAGAGCAAGAGGAGTAAATCAGATTGCATTTCTAGTATGTTGTTTTCTATCACATGCCTCTCCTGCCAATACCTGACTAAAAGTTAAGTACACAGAGCACTTACTTCTAGTAGGTACCAATATAAGGAAAGAAAGCTTCAGCAAACAGAACAAAACCAAAACCAACCAACCAAACAAAGCAGACCAAGACAGAACAGGCCTGTGGCCTACAAAAGAAGCAAAGGACCAAGCAGCTCAGACATCTGTGGTAGGTGCTCATTATACTAAAGCCAGGAATTGAGTTTCCTGATGTTGCCTGATGAAATACAGGTTCAGAACATGCTCTTTGGTTCCAACTGCAGGTTTGGATGATTTTGACCAGAAAGCAGATCTGAACCAAATTGAACAAGGCTACTCAACAACCCAAGGGCAGGGGCTCTGTGTGAGAAGGTAGCTCACGCTGCTCACACAATGTGGAGACAACATGTTCCTGTGAGCGCAGTTTTTGGTTGGAATCAGGTCCTATCCCAATTTATTTTGGCAGACAGAGCCATGACTGGTGGTCCATCATCCATCCTCCTGGTCCATTATCCAGGCAAGGGCAGAACAGGACACGCTACAGAACTAGGCATGTGATGGGGCTGCTGTAGCAACCTAATTCCTACCCTTTTCTGGAGTGTTCATCCAGCCTAAAGCTGTCACCTTCCTGAGCAGCCGGACTGTGTGTGATACTGTACCATGGCTGTGCCCTGCCAGCTAACACAAGGCAAATGTGGACTGCAGAGAGAGAAACAAAGCTGAAGAACGGAGAGCAAACACAGCTGCAGCCTATTCCACCTACAAGAACACAAAGAGTAACCTGCACACTGGTTCACAGGTCCTGAATTTCAAAAAAAAACCCCGGTTTCCTACTATACTTGTTGACCAAGGCCTTTCACAGGAGATGGGGAACAAAAACTAAATATGCCAGCAAACAACCTGTTTTGCCTTGCCTCCCAACTTCAGAACAACAACAGATATAAATCTTCAACTCAATCCAAAGCAGCACCCCTGCTTACCTTACCTGAATCCTCTTCTGCTTCCCCTGCTTAGTCCCATTCATAGTTAAAAATCTAATTGTAACTAAGGAATGTAAATAGCAGGGGTCAGGCAATGACTACCTTTTATGTTCTCATTTACTCATTTACTGCTTAATTACAATGGATTCACTGAATTTGTTTATCAAATAAGTTTAGTTCTGTGTCAATCATTTTATTGATTTATATCTATTCCCACACACAGAGTTTGTTGAGAATAGGTCTGAGCAACCATCTTTGAAATTCTAAGTCCAGAATGCGGAGGAAAATGTTGTAGTGTGGCCAAGGAAGAAGCAATTGAAATCACAGCAATTCTAGGGAGGCCTGAAATGTGGCACAGGTGTGTCGCTGCATGACATCCAGGAACAGGAAATCATGAGGCCGCGTGAACTGACAATGAATCCAGCACAGCCTCTCTGCAGGCAGAGCACACAAATGTTCAGGCATCAGGGTGCCAAGGCTCCGCTCTGTTAATAACAAAAGCTTTAATAAGCCGGGAAAAGAAACAACTGTTTTATCTACTGAATGATTCGGCCGAAGATCTCCTCTATCAGGGAGACAGGTGTGGTGTAAAGAGGGCACAAAGGAAACACATGTGCAAAAGAGAAGAGAGAAATTGCAATGCAAAATGAAGAATGAAACAGAAGTATGAAGGAGAAAAGCAGGTCAAGGCAATGCTGAGAAGGGCAGCCAAGGTATCACTGCCCTGCGCTGGGTTTTGACACCGTGTGTCCACTTTGCTGCACAACCGGCAGGCTTCAAAGTCCCCGTGTCCTCAGCTCCCAAAAGCTCCACATCTGAAGTCTGCAAGTTCAAGCACGCTCTCAGGCTGCTCAAAACCAGGCACGCATCATTTCAACTCCTGTTAGAGAGGAAACTTCAAAAAAACCCTCCTTAAAAAGGGGCCAGCAGAAGTTCAGAAATGAGAGGAGAGAATAATTAGGGACCTGAAAATTTCTCACAGGAGGCAAAAATTGAAAGATTGAGATTGCTTGCTTTGGAAAGCAAAGGAAAAGCTGCTTAAGAGAGGACAGATAAAAATAGACATAAAGAATATTGATGAGAAGCACCTTATCTCCCTTTTCCCGTAACACACAAGGGCCACATGATGAAAAGAATAAAATTCAGTGTCTGATACCATGTTAACAAAAACAGCTGAAGTAGTACAACTAATGGAACCACCTGGAAATGAAATTAAATCATGTGCTGTGAGGCTCAGCCAAACCTGAAGTTATCACTGAGGAGGGTAGCACCAAATGTGAGCAGATTCATTCCCTGTGAGCTGCTGCTTTGTCACTTTTTCTGAGGCCTGCTGAACTCAGCAGGTCTCAGACTCTGTCAGTCCAATGCCTCCCGATTCCTAGAAAACACTCTCTGCCTACACACTGGGACAGAGTCAAAGGCACTCAAGCAAAGCACAAGGTTTAAATCTATGCAATTTTTAGCAAGGCTAAACAGGCTTTGTATGGGGCTTCCCTATAAGACTGGTCTCTGGAGGGATAGGAGGAAAATGAAAAGCCACATGTCACCCACCATGCAGTGGCACATTAATGCAAGAGACCTGAAACACTTGGGCTTGTCAGACCAAAATATTTTTCTTAGGAGCTTACGACTTGGAGTTAAGTTTTTAATAATAATCATTTGCATTCAGGATTTCACTCTTTAAAATCAATGTTTCTGCCAATGGTTTGGCGCTACCTATAAAGAGCCCAAATACTATCCCTCTGAAGGCCAGTTTGCAAGGTAGCAACAGGACAAAGAATCACACCAGTCAGTCCACAAGCGCCTTTGGAGGCCAACTGAGCAGAGTTCCACTTGCTGTGAACACTGCACAGCTGGTCATCAAGACATACAGTCCCCTGTAAAGCCATTTGTGTGCTTTGATATCATCTGCACAATTCATTACAGTGATCCCAGCACAGACCTGTAAAATTCCATATTACGTGCTAACAAAATGACAGTTTATTATTATCTTATATACAGTTATAACCAACCTTTTCCAAACAATCTTTGCACTTTCTTTTAGTAAAATATTCCAGCTTATTTTATGTGGAGAAAATTCATTAGCATTTTTAAAAAATAATAAATATAAGCATATTTTAACCAAGAATTCATTTAAATATTATACTTCAGCAATTAATTTCAGAGTTCTGCAAACTGCATGGTCCGACCATGAGTAGGTTTGGCTTGGTGAATTCATAGCAGCTTCCATGACCCCCTTCAGAGGTAGTTTCTGATTATGTCTTTAAAAAGAGGACGACATTGCACAGACATCCGTGGCTGCCAGTGAGGAAACTGGCACTTGCCCCAGCCAGTCCATGGTGCCTTCAGCCTCCTTGCAGGCAATGAAGCTGTGTTTCATGTCTACAGCTCCAGGTCCTGCAGGTCGCCCCAGCTGGGTCCAACTTTCACTTTAACGTCCAGCTTTACGGAGAGTTTCATGGCGTTTTCCATCTCGTGTTTCACGATCTGGGCTACCTACAAGGCAACGTGACACGGGGTCCTGCAGCGCCCTGCACAAGGACTGATGCACACAGCCCCCATGCTCTGGTTTTCGGTCAGCATCTGACCTGCCCAGAAACCTGGAGCTCTTCACTGCATTTTCCTTTGCACTCACTTACCACAGGTGGGAATGTGACTAAACGTATTAATCCCGCTTATAATTTGGGAATGTAGAAATCGTTTTGAGCAAACAACATTTTACACAATATATTTCCATTAAACACTTGAGTCCTGCACAGCCCCTCTCCTTTCACCCAGCTGTGTAATTCTAAGCATTTTGTGGAGTCTATTCTGAAAACATCAGTGTTCACAAAACAACGCAAAAAAAAATAAATAATTCACAAAACAAACTGCAGGCAAAAAAATGTGCTCCTCCTCACAGTGTCAGTGAGAGGTTCCAGTGAAAAACACAAACTGATGGGAAAGCGGGTCATATTTAATGCAAGGGTCAGATGCTATTCAGGTTTACTCCTGCAAGTAATTGCTCCATTAATTAACTCCTCCATTAATTGCTGCCTTCAAAGGGTATCTTTAAGAAAACATTCACTTAAGCGTACAGTCAGGAGTCCCTCTGACATTTTTGCCTCTGGCTTTTGGGATCATAAAAAAACTACTTTTCTTCCTGCTTTTCAATACCTGCCTTGGATAAGAGGATCCTCTTTCCAACCCCAGGACCCACACACATGAATGAACCTTTCTGTCCACTCTCACCCTGTGAGCCTCTCCACAGCAGAGCAAAGCAAAAACAAACCAAAAAGGAAATCTTGGAAATGACTGAGGTCCTCTATTTCAGCTAGAGGGTCAAAATTGGGAAACATTCAAGCTTTTTAACCTCCATACCTTCCCATAAATTCTTCACAGTAGAAATTACACCATAATTCTTATTGGGAGCTGGAGGAATGGGGTTGAGAAGATCAGAGCAGAAGAAGATTTACAATGATGCTAAGAATGGGGAGATGTACCTTCCAAAATATTACACCTTTGCACACCACATTTCAAAATGATCTTGATAACCTAGAAAAATGCTTTGAAACAGGATGTAATTCAGTACAGACAAGTACAAAGCATGATAGAAAGCAGGACAGAAAACCAGAATAGAAATGATCTATTGTTCAAACACAGGTCGGAAAACGAATAGCTAGACAGAAAAAAAAAATGGCATTATCAGAGATCCAAAATCGAACAGAGCTAAAGCAAGACATACTATTGTGAAAAGAAAACAAATATGATTCTGGAATGTGGAGGAAGAAAGTGCTGCTTTGTGCAACACGCAAATCAATTTTTCATCCTCTCAACACTTGCTGTAGCCTTCACTGGACAGTTTGGTCCCAATATCTTAAAAGAAACACCAGCTGTTCAGAGGTCCTGCACACAGACAGTGAGGAACATCAAACCAGGGCTGTTGCACCCAGAGCAAGGGAAGTTTAGTCTCCTGGAAAAGGCTCCAGAGGAGACACAAAACCCTGCCTGAAATGCCTGGGGAAGCTGATGGGATGGTCATGCAACAATGAGCTGGGCTCTGGGCTCTCCATTTCCTGTACACTGAACAAACAGCACCACTTTCAGTGTCCTCAACTCCCATCCAAAGCACGCTTAGAGGTAGGCTGGACAGCTTAAAGGCATAAATACAATTACGCGGAGAAAAAGCAAGCAGTTGAAGAGCACCTAGCTTTTCATTGCTAAACTAGACCGTAGCTCTGACACTTCATTGCCAAGGTCAGCTCAACCAGCTCAATCAAGCCACCTTCTGCTGTCTTTGGCAGTGAGAGACACAACTGTGCAGTAAGCCAGCAAGCTAAAAAGCAGCTGAGAACTGCATCAGTGCTGGTGAAATCACAGAATGGTTGAGGTTGGAAGGGACCTCCAGAGATCATCTAGTCCAACTCCCCTGCTCCAGGAGGGACACCTAGAGCACGTGGCACAGGGTGGCATCCAGGCACATTTGCAATCTACTATCTACTAACCATGCTGAAACCGTCTAGAAGACTTGAAAATAGGGATGACTGTACCTGGATGACATCGTCTTCCGCAACCTCGTAGAGGAGCTCATCATGGAGCTGGAGAACAAAGAAACCTCCACTGAGGGGAGGCAACATGCATCTGCTTTGCTTCCCTGCCAGCCTTCCTGCACAGGTGAAGAACACAGGTGGTTAGGTCCTGTTATGCAAAGACATATTGCTTGTATCAAAAACCTGCACATACGCAGAATGCTAAGAAAACGAACACGTGGAACCTTAAAATGAAGAAGTCTGAGTATACAGATAAAAACACAAAACATTACTATTCTATCAATATTTGTACAGCTACTGACAGAAAAATGTTAATGAAAAGCATTTTAGATAAAAACATTTCAGCCTTAAATTATGAAGATGTGAATCAGAACAGAAACAAGACAGACAGTTTCAGCTCCTTAACCATCTGTTTTAAAAGTAAATTTTAAACAAAATTATGTCAAGTTTAATCAGAACTTGGTCTATAGCATTCTCTCTGGCAACAAATTAAGATTCTGCTTTTCTTCCAAATTCATTTTAATGGCTAGTTCTGAGGAGCCAGAAGGACTTTTTCAACCCAGCCAAATACAGTCATCTGAAACTGTCGCTTCAACTCGTGATAAAAAAAAATGGGCAGTCTTCGAATAAGTTAGTAAATAGCTGACAAGACAGGATCCTGGTATGCCATGCCTGCCAAACAAAAAAAGGAGTAAACTGTTTTATGGTAAGGACCTTAAGTTTAAATAAATAAATAAATATCTGCATAGAGACTCTGAAGTTATTTATCAAGTTAGCAAAGAGGGGGATTCTAGTTCACAATTGCAGGAAGAGCTTCACTGCACCATCAGTTCCTCACATGAACCTCACACTGAAGCACAGCAACACTGA